ATAGAGAGGGAAGTTTGAAAAGAGGTTTTGAGGTTGTAGATGAACTCCTGGGCTTACCCGGAGCACACATGTGTTTATCTGACTCTAAGAAATATAGCAAAAGCATTGAGAACTGAACTGTGGGCTCACTGGGCTTGGAAAGAACGTCAAACAACCTTTCCTTTTTCTGTAAGAATCAAGGACTTCTTGAGCCAGGAACAATTTACTGTCGCCTTACTGTCCTTTAAGGCAGTGGCCATCTACTTTAGGGGACAGACATGACACTCAAAATGCATCAGGAAAGTCAAAGAATCAATGATTCCCTTTCTTTACTTTTGAGCCATATGGAATGGTACACCTGCCTGACCTGCAGCTGTCCAGGGAGGAAAAGGTGCAGAGTGGGTAAATATGATAGGCAGGGAGGCTCTTTGGAGGAAGCTGCTTGGCATCAAAGGACAGTAGGATTTAAAGGGAGAATTCCAGCAAGGGAATAAAGCATATTCAAAGTAGAGAGGAAGGAGTCGTGGGGAGCATTCAGGGGGATTCCTGTGAAGGACTCACTTCAAGAACTCATGGGCAGGCAGGATGGGGCAGTAGGGCAGAGATGCATCACGGAGAACTATGGAATGGGGCAGTAGATGTTAAGACAGAACCTGGAACACCAGTGGTCCACAGCAGGCTTTTGAACAAAGGCCTGATGTAGCAGAAGGCGTGTTCTAGGAAGCGTATTCAGTATTAATGATTCTCTCTTCTTTTAGACTCACTCCTGAATAAGATGATGCGGTTTAAATCACAGAAAGACTTGTGGATTTACTGTTGCCCTGCTCAGCTGAGATTTGATGGGCGAACGTAAACCCAGATCTCTCTAGTTCTTATATCTGAGCTGGAAGTGTAGTGGGTTGGATCTGATTTATTGAATCACATGGATTCAGACCTTTTAGCCAAGGTCTGGTGGTGGAGAATCTCCCAGGAAGGCTTTCTCAAGCTTTTGAACAATTAGTCCCTTTGAACCACTTTAGACTTCTTCTTTGTCATCTTTATCATCTCTTGCTTAGGGAACAGAAATAGCCAAACCAGTGTGGTTGGGTCCAAGTAAGCAAACGGAGAGTGGTAGAAGGCTGTGTATCCATCAGCTCCCTGGACATCTCCTTCAGGTCCCCCAACACTTCCTGCCCAGTGCTCCCAATGAAGGCATCATCTTCCTGTGGGAATTCAACTTCACCTTTCTCTGTTTCTAGTTAGCCTTGGGCTCCCCAACCTGAGACACACATTGGGGTCTCTTCTGTTCCTTCACTCATACTCGCCCAATCATACCTCTTAAAACACCCCTAAAATGCACCCCTTTTTCTCCTTTTGTGGAGTTGGTGTCATCATATCCGTCTAGATTATTACATCTACTTGTAACCCCCTGTCCACCCTTCCCAAGGACACCAGAGCAATCCCTATGACATTCGCTTACATCTCAATATCTTCCTCTTCTGTTTAAGACCTTTAAGATCCCCGGAGCAAGGTCCAAACTCTGTTCAATCTCCCTGGCCAACCTATGTGCCTTCCAGTCATGGTGAAGAATGCCACGAACCCCCAGTGCACAGAAAGAGCAAGTTTATTGGGTGAGGATGATGGAAAGTAACACATGCCCGATGGGCAAGAAAGGGCGCAGGTCTCACAGAGAGAAGGCTACTCTGGTCTCCCAAATGGTAGCAGTGTCATTCTCCGCGGCACGGACCAGTCTTCTGTGAGTCTTGGGAAGCTGGGCAGGAAGTAAGATGAGCAGCAGGGAATGTTTCTATTGAGAGAAGACCACAGCAGAATGGAAACTCAAGACCACGACCATCAAACTTACTGTCCAGAGGAAAGGAACGAGGCTGAGACCCTGGGGCTAGGGGTCTTGTCTCTCAGCCACAGAGCAGTTCAGTTCTTGGGCAAAAGGCCTCCTTGTGTATGTGGTTGAGTAAGTGTGTATTCCATGTGTTCCATGGAGTGTGTATCCAACACATCTCCTTCAGGTCCCCCAACACTTCCTGCACAGTGCTGGAAGTGCTGGAAGTGCTGTGCTGCACATGTGTTCGTCTGAGTTCGTTGGAGTGACCATGAGTTTGGGCATTTATGTGTCTGATATCCATGGCATTTGTGTTTCTCTTTAAAGCTTTGTTGCTCCATCAACATGACTGTGTGCCCGTGTGTCTGTCTGCATGGGTACTGGTGTCTATTTCTGGATATCACTATCCCAGCTCTCCTGCTGCCACCTCAGAAGGACAGCCAATTCTACCAACCCTGGATGTGTGGGTGCGTGAGTGGACGGGAGGCAGAAATCATCATGCCCACACAGCAGCACTCACCAGCTCAGTCGAGGCCAGGAGTCCTCTTGGAAAACTTAGACTTTGCTAACAAATTCCACTCCATGGATCAGTAAGTCTGGGGGGAAAAACAAAAATAAAACAACACACACACACACACACACACACACACACACACACACACACACACACCCCAGAGTAAGGCTTTCATTGTGAGAGGGTCTAGGAATGGTCCACATTCGGCTGGGGGCTAACAGAGGGGTGTTCTGGAGGTCCTGCCTAGGCTGGACTCAGAGAGGACTCCTTCCACGAGCAGTTACCTGCAGTGCATTGGATTCAAAGAGGCAGAATCTATACCTCATAGGTCTCTGGATAACGCAGGGCAAAAACAAACCCCAATGGGGATCCTTGGGCCCAGAGTCTGGTTTGAAGGAACAAAGTTCCCTGTGGGAAATTGTTGTTCCTAAAGAGGGGGCTGGAGGTGAGAGGGCTTGGATTGGGTACTTACCAATAATGGCATGTGCCATGGTGAAATCCAGGCGACTGAGAATCCCATTGATCAGAGGGCACACCTGGAGCAGAGCGGGGTGGGGTTAGCACAGCTGCACTCGTACAAAGACCCTGGTGGTGGCGGCATCCCCAGAATGGGGATGATTTTTGATCATGTTTCGACCTCTGGAAGTGCAGGATTCTAAGCCATCCACTGATGGAGGGCCACACACATCCACACTGGGCACATGGGGGAAAAGAAGCCTAGGGTGGCAGGACAGATCCAGGTTCATTCTGAAAGGCCACGTCTACTTCCACATAGGGTAGGTAGCTTTGAAAGGGCGGATGTTTTGGTTCTAGGGAGACCCAGGCATAGGCTGGGAGACTGCCTATGCAGCTCGACTGAGTTTCTTGAGGCAGGGGTCAATCCATTCCACCTGCAGTGTAGAAAAGCACGGGGCCTGGCTCAGAGCAGAAGCCAGGGATGGCAAGGAGAAACATGTAGAGATGGACTGCTGGGTGGACATAACACTCAGTTGAGGACTTTGAAGCCCCTCAGCCCAAGGGTCTCTTTCAGTGTGAGAAGCTCTGACACCAAAGGATTACAAGATGCTTCCTTTTGTCCACTTACCTTGCTCTGCACCAGCTCCGGAAGAACATTATTCAAAACTGCGGTGAGGCTGTCCACAATGCTCTGGATAGGGAGGGGAGCAATTCTGAAAGAGAAAATCCACGATGCACACTAAAAACCCGGAGTTGCTCAGACATCAAAGAATTAAAAATCTGATCATCGTGCATGAGGGGGAGTGAGGAGTGGGACCCAAAGCCTGTCTCTACAGGCAACTGGACATCTCTTTACAGAAGGGTCACAGGGAGGAGACGAGCCAGTCAGAGTGCAGTGTAGCAACGATGAAACATACAACTTTCCTCTAGTTCCTAAATGCTTCTCCCCCCCACCCCTATCATGACCCCAATTCTACCTTATAAATCCGGCTAGACCAGAGCAGGTACACTGGTACAGATAGGAACTGGAAACACAGGGAATCCAGGACAGATGAGCCCCTCAGGACCAGTGGTGAGAGTGGTGATACCGGGAGGGTGGAGGGAAGGTGGGGTAGAAAGGGGGAAATGATTACAAGGATCTACATATAACCCCCTCCCTGGGGGATGGGCAACAGGAAAGTGGGTGAAGGGAGACGTCATATAGTGTAAGATATGACAAAATAATAATAATTTATAAATTATGAAGAGTTCGTGAGGGGGGAGGGAGGGGGTATGGGGAGGGAGGGGAAAATGAGCTGATACCAAGGGCTCAAGTAGAAAGCAAATGTTTTGAGAACGATGATGGCTACAAATGTACAAATGTGCTTGACACATGGATGGATGCATGGATTGTGATAAGAGTTGTACGAGCCACTAATAAAATGATTAAAAAACCAAACAAACAAAAAGACGTGAGCACTAAGGGGGAGTACCCTAGGGAGAGCTACACCCTACACGGCACACAGTAGCTGTGTGTGTTGATAAAACATGTAGTTCTACTCTACAGTAAGCATTCATAAATTTTTTTAGAATCCATAAACGAGTGAATAGTGTTTAGTATCTGGCTATCATGAGGGTTTATCACATGAAGTGTAACATTTGTGTTCAGTAATTTTCAGCTGTGATCGAACGATGATTGAATATTCTGCACGTCTTAGCTTCCCTGTGTGGGTAGGTAATGAAAGTAAGTTGTGATAGATTCTGTAGTTACTCTGCCTTTTACTGGAATAACGCATGCAATAACGCATGCATTATTCCAACGAGTCTACCAACAATCCCAATGTAGCTCCACATCGTAGATGAGCAAGTTGAAACCTAGAGTTGGAAAAACACTGTCCAAACTGACATAGGGTGCTTCTCCCCCACCTCACACTAAAAGATGAGGTTTAAACTCAGATATCTTGTTGTCTAATCCAACATAAATGGGTTGGTCTGGCTTAAGAAGGCACATGTGACCCATTATCCATCTATCTATCCATCCATCCATCCATCCATCCATCCATCCATCCATCCATCCATCCCCTATCCATCCATCCCCTATCCACCCAACCTTCTTCTAACCCATTAGGACCCCTTGATGTTCATGGGCAGAAGTCACCACATTGGTCTCACCCATCAAGCAAGGAAATTTTCAGGCTGCCCGGGGAATGAGTGCAGTCGCCAAGGACCAGGTGTAGGTTCCCCTCCTCATTTCTCACGGCTAAGAGTTCCGCAGTGATGTTCAGCTTCACATCCAGCCTCAACAGACTTCCGACCATGGGCCTGTGGAGGAGATCATCCTACTGGCATCTGACCCCACAATATTCCAAGGCAAAAAGGGATTTTCCTCTCACCAGGAAGCTCAGCCTCACCTCCCTCCATCCAGTCCACACGGGGACTCTTCTCATTGCTCGGTAGGGGAAAGTAAGACTCAGAGAGGTCAAGTGAGTTTCCCAGGGTCACTCAGCATAGCAACAAATGAGATGAAGTTGGAGGTGGAGTCTGGGACCCAATTTTTGCCTATGCATCAGAGTCTTCCTTGGTGAGCCATCCTCCCATACCCCGTGGGAGCCTACTCACGTCTTCACATTGAGGACCAGGCCAAGAGGGATGGTGGCATAGAGACGATGGCCATCAGGACTCTGCACAAGGCCAAGTTCCAGCAGCTGGGGATCAGTGACTTTCACTCTGTCCAGAGAGTACCGTAGGAAGGAACATCAATTCCTCTAGCCCCAACCACACTCAGGTCAGAAACCCCCTTTGACCCAACCTGACTCAGCTCAAGGGATGGAGCTTCCCATGAGGTGCTGGGGAGGAGGCAGGAGGAGAATCTTGAAGCAAAAGCCACCTGAGTTCTAAATTTGGGATTAGTCTTCTCTAATCTCTCCCCCAGATCAGATCTGGACACATTTCTGAATTCTCTTCCTCTCAAGGTTATGAAGGTATTTCAAAATAGAGACCATGTTTGGGTAATACTTGCCTTGTTTTATGGCCACCTCTAAAATGCAAAAACCAAGCTCACTGCCATCTAGTTGATGCTGACTCATAATGGCCCTACAGGATGGGGTAGAACTGCCCCTGTGGGCTTCCTAGGCTATAACTACAGGAGTAGAAAGCCTCGTCTTTCTTTTATGCAGAAGCTTTGAACCTGCTGACCTTGCAGTTAGCAGCCCAATGAACAACCACAATGCGTAGTAGTTATGTATGGGGCAGCTAACCACAGGTCAGCCATTCAAAGTCACCAGCCTCTCTCCATGAAAGACCAGGCCTCCTACTCCCGCGAAGAATGACAGTCTTAGACATCCATAGGGCAATTCTACACTGTCCTACAAGGTCACTTTGAGTTGGAGTCAATTCGAGGGCAGTGAGTCTGGTCATCCTCAAATCCTTCAAAAGAAAGAGGTTAGTTTGTATAGTTGAATTTGTGGATTGAGGAGTGGATAGGTAAAGAGATGTATAGGCGGGTGAGTGGAAGAGTAAATGGTTGGATAGAATGAAAGATGGAGGTATGGATGGATAGATGGTTAAGTGGATGTGTCTGGGCACAGCATTAAGTTGTGGGTAGGAATCTCTCATCCTCTATGATGGATGAATCAACCATGTCTACCATGGGCACTAAGGCACAGGAGGTGGGAGAGAATGGAATTGAATGTCTTCCCTGAGGCAGTGTCTAGGCCAGGTGATATACATCTTCCTCCATCCTCCCAATGGTCTTTCTTGGAGATGGTAAACTCCATCTTACAGACAGGAAAACCAAGCCCAAAAAGACTGAGTATTACCAGCAAGGCCATGGTACGTAGAGAATCAGATTCAAGTCTGTCTTCAAGCCAGGAGGCAGGCGCCTAGATGGAGAAGGGGTCTTGGAAATTGCTTGAATCCAGGCCTACCAAGGAAGCCGGCTTGGCCATCATCAAGCTTTTCCATGACTGGACTATTGTCTCAGATGAAGCAGCACATTGGGTCTTCCCATGTATGCCATGCTCTTAATCATGTTACCAATAGAACTGAGTGTAAGTTGACCAACTGACACTTCCTGTTTACATTAAAGGTGCTCTATGGTTGAAGGAATTCCACAGGGGGAGAGAATACAATGATTAAGGTGGGGTGAAAAGAGCCTTGACGTTGGGTGTGGGTGGGTAAAGCCGAATTAGATCCCCCGTGAGACATCGCTTTAGTGGTATGAACACAGACACCTCTCTGGGGCTCAATTTCCTCATCTGTCAAACTGGAGTGATTCTATCGGCATTGAGGGGTGTCAGGAAGAGTAGAGTTGATGTGGAGACCTAGGGTGTGCTTCAGGACTGGGGACAGTTACTGGTACTGGTGTGCCCTACCAGATTGTGAGACGTGTCTCGGGACTGAGTCCTCCCTGATATTCAGCCCCCAGCCCCAGGCCCCTGCCCTCCTCGAGGGTTGCTGCCTGAGTCTGCCAGATCTCCAACGGAGCTGCAGCCCAGAGCCCTCTTTCAGAGTAACTCACTCAATGAGGTTGTTCAGGAGAGGGATCACTGATGTCACTTTCCCAAGCAGGCCCCCAACCAGGCTACCGGAGTTGTCTCCTTTAGCTTTCAGCATGTCCAAGAGTGGAAGGTTTTGGAGAATGCCCAACAGATCCCCTGAGAGCAGGCCATTGGTGAGAGCTAGATGTGAATACAGGGAACAGATCAGAGAGTTCCATTTTCATGCCTCCAACCCCCCC